GTTACAACCATATTATTTAAAAAGAAAGCGATATTATCGCTTGAATTGTATAAGAAACACTTTCTAAGTAAACTGTTCGCAGTATCTTTTGAAACAACCTGTTTCTCATCATGGAAATAAAAATGAAAATTTATTTTTAAATAGAAGAAAACTATTTTGCGGTTTTGTATTTAATTAAAAACGAAATCTGCCTAAGTTTATTTTTACCTAAAATTCATTGTTGATAGTATGTATATAATTTGAAGTTTTATCATACTTAAATGATTATGTGAGACATGGAATTCAAATTGTCCGTATATGAAGCATCAATGGTACAAAGAGTGTTGGAATTTTTACACTAGCTTTCATTACACGAAAAAAAACAAAATCTCTCTGTATTGAATAAATGTTAGTTGTGTAGTTAAATGATGATTTATAAAATCATGGGGTCGGGTAAGGCTACAAAGCCAGATACTTTTCAATTCTTTTAGAAGTGGCTTTTGTTTAAAAAGTTGGCTTAAGTTTTGTTTAGGCACCATTTTTTTTTGCATTTTTCACTGGTCTTTAAAAGATTCTGATTGAAAAAAGTAATTTTTTAGTCAAAACTACTAACATATTTGGAGTTAGCATAAAAAACCGAGTTGACTAATAGGTATTTCAAAGTTTTTAACCCAGCTTGTTTGTTTTTCGAAAAATTTCAACTGGAGTCTCCTGCAGAGTTCAATCAAACAAATAAATTTAATCAAAACATCATTTTTATTCTTTAGTTATTTGTTCTTGTGTCTCATTGACGTTTTACAGGTTTAGAACTGTTGTTCACTGATCAAATGACTTTTTAATAAAAATTTTTTTTTTGGCGGAACTCTGAGAGGGATTCCGGCGGAATTTTTCGAAAAAAAATAGTTCGTCGAAAAAGTTTGAAACACATGTAAGTCAACTCAGTTTTTTATGCTAATTCCAAATATGCCGTTAGTGTTGACTAAAAACCTACGTTTTTTTAAATCAAAATCTGTTAAAGTCGGGTGAAAAACAGCAAAAAATGGTGTCAAAATGAAGTTCGAATCGCCTTTTTTTTTTAGCAAAGACCACTTCGAAAGGAATTGAATCAATCAAAGACCCGTGTTCTTTTTCTTTTCTCGAGATTTTGAGAAAATAGTAAGCAAAAATGAATACAAATTATAATATAACAATATTTATGTCATTCCTCAGCAACACTCCAGTCGATTGATATAATTTTCAGTTGGAAGTACTTTAGACAAGTCAACGTTCCATAAATGAATAATTCATTTATGGTACAAACGTGAATATCAATAATTTGAGCAATAATCGATCTGGATTCGTCAGAAATTACTTTATTTTATTACCAAATGATTCCTCGTGAAATTCTGTATTAAGTAAATCATGAATGGAAGGAAAATCAGGATAGTCCACAAATCGTTGTTATCCGCCTCCGTCCCTTGTAACAAATTACATTTTTATTTTGAATTTATTTCTTGTTCAAGTAAGTAAATAATCTTGTCAACAATAAATATTGGTAAATAATGATGATAAGAAAAAAATACTCAATCAATTTTGAATTTGCTTCCTTTACTATTACAAAATTCAACAAGTTTTGTTGTGCTTTTGAAAAATAAAAATTAACAAAGTTTTACGTAATAATGTGTACTCGAAATACCGTATTGGCTTAGGCCATATGGAGAGCATACATTTTCCCCATAACACAGCTGAATTGTCATTACATGGGTTATGTAAAATTAATCATTATTATTATGACGAATAGTTCAAATATTTCTTGGTCTTTTTTTTCAATAGAAAAGAATTTTCCAACTAATATTCGTGAATCAAACTAATTGTATTATTTTTGTTGAATCATATTGAGTCATTATTATTCGTTTATTATTTCGAAAAATACAGTGATGAAAATCGTAAAAAAAGAATCGATTGATAAATAATAAATATAGTATTAAATAAGCTATATCTTAGAAGTAATTTGCCAATGAAACCAAGTTTTTGTTCAATACCGATGTTCATCAATTGATTGAATCGAAATTCGATTTTTCTGTCTCTTCAAATATATAATTAACACAAATTAACTAATATGCATTGCATATGATCATATCACAAATACAAGTCATATTAAAATTCTCGAAAGTATATCAAATAGTTTTAGCATTTGTTTTCAGTTAATAGAAATCTTAAGAATACAAATCATGATATTTTTACAAATTCAATTTAGGTTTCTTAAATTAATTTTGATTTACAATCAAAGATATTATTAAATAGAATGCATCGGAATATTATATTGAAAAAATGACGTTATATTCTTATGACTCATTGATTAGTAAGTCAACATCTACGAGAACTGCGGTCTTTTTTTTTCTCTTGATAGTGTATTTTTTTTGACGAATTAGTTCGTTCTTTCAAAATAAGAAAAGAATCATTATATTATGAGTCAAGTTTTTACAATGCATACTACGCAGTGGAAAAGCTACAATCAACGTTAAATCCTGATTTCCTGATTTTTTTAAAATTTACTGTAGTGGTGTATTACGTAGTATGCGCCCACAATGAAATACTACCTCATTCTGTTGATTAACTCCCACTTAATGCGTAAGTTTTAATCGATTACATACGTATATATATATGTAACTCGGGCTTCGTACCATTAATTTTATCAATTATGAACTAAATTTTATTTTTGTTTTAATTACAGTTTCATTTTTTGTATCAATCAGGTAAGCAGTTTTAAAATCTTAATTTCTTGAGAAAAATATTACGAATTATTTCTTTTATGTGGAAACCACCTCATCCTGTCATATTGCGTTATGAACCATATAAACATACATATATACGCGTATGGGTACTTTATTTTCGGAATAGATTTCTAAAATAAACATTTGAAATTACTATAGAATATTTTTAAGTATTGATTATTCGTAATCATTATTTTTTGTAAACTAGGTTCCGATTTAAAATAACATCATGGTTGGGATTGATGCAAAGAATAAAAGTATTCTTGATATAAAGTTTATTTGTCCCATCTGTTCATTCATATTACGAGATCCAATTCAATTAACTATTTGTGGTCATCGACAATGTCAATCATGTTTTCAATCTCAATATAGGTAAGTTTCATTATTCAATTAATCTGATATTTTTTATTATTATTTTAAGAATGCCAATCAAATGTTCACAATGTTTAACAGAAACATCCCAAAGCCAAGCAAAGTACTCATCTTACTTCAGTAGAATATAAATGTTTGCTGTTTTAGGTGAAAACTGATCGAGGGTTCAGAATAGATATGCAATTACTACCAATTGAATGTTCTTTTTGTAATTGGAATGGAGTTGTAAAAAATTATCAAGTAACATATATTATGTTCATCTTATTTTTGAGCATTAGATTCTTTTCTCTAAAAGGTACATCTCGATCGAAATCATCAAAATCCAAAATGTGAATACTGTCATCAAAAGTTTTATTCAGTTGAAACCCTTAATGAACATAAAGTATCAAAATGTGAAAAAATACTTGTAAACTGCTTGTTGAAAGAACTTGGTTGTTATGAACAAGTATAAACATTAAATAGTTGAGACTAATTCATCTGAAACTATTTTCTCTAGATTCATCGTTGTAATTTATCAAATCATTATTTGAGTGAACAACATCGAAATTCATTAATGAAAATTCTTCATCAAATGAAATTACAAATAGAAAATGCGAGAAAGGCCTCGACTCAAATGGAAATTGATCCTTCTGGATCAACAACAGTCATAGCTGTTGATGTCGATACGATTCTTTTTCAAGAGTTATGTGAAATACTTGATATTCCATTAGATGATTTAAATATATTGAATAATGATGGACAAGAACAACTTAATAATGCATTACTTCAATGTCAAAGACAATTTCCAACATTGACACTAAACTTTTTAAAATTTAGAGTGTCTATAGAAGAAGACAATAGCAACTGAAATGGATCAGCAATAAACTGAAGCATAAGAAAACAGTTTTTTAACATATTGAGCCGTTTGTTATGAAGACTATTTCTGGACAATATGTTTCTTTCTTTTTCGACCAATGAAGAGATATGGCACAAAGAAGGGGCGCATTTGGCCGTAAAATGGTTCGAAGAACTTTTTCACTGAGATCCCTATTATCTTATACCAAATGAACGATCACGTTGAGATAAGCATTTTTGGTGATAGAATCAACTAATTTTCCATGAACAAGTAAAAAGTTTGAACAAGGTCAATATTCGATATTTGTGAGTATCAATTTGGTTTCATGACTTATCTGATGTGGTACCCTATTCATATGAAGAAAATAACAAAAAAAAAAAAGGATTTTTTTTACTTCAAATTGCAGACCAAATGATCTTCTAACACTGCTATAAATATCAAGTATTTTGCTTTAGTCATTTCGACTTTACAGCAGAAATATGACCCTCAGAAATCTTGAAAAACCATCTCTAGACTATTAGGTATATCTAGTGTAGGTCTTCGATCGCATTCAACGGCACGAATAACGAAGTGCTGATTTTGCCTAAAAATCAGTAATATTTCGAGCATTAGCCATCCAATGGTACTGAAAATAAAAAATCCAATACCAGAATCGTGTTCAACATAAGAAA